ACTTCCCCAGGTGGGTATTGTAGTTTTAAGAATGCTTGATAGAGATCTTGTAGGTGTTTGTCTCTGTCTGAGGGATTGGAGCAAATGCAGTTGTATCTTAAGGCTTGGCTGTAGACAATGGATCGTGTGATGTGTCCTGGATGGAAATTGGAGATATGTTGGTAAGTATAGCAGTCAGTAGGTTTCTGGTATAGGGTGGCGTTTATGTGACCGTCACTTATTTTTACGGTAGTGTCCAGGTAGTGGATCTCTTGTGTGGACTGGTCTACCACTATAAGTGCAAAAAATCTTGTACAAAGTATGTCAAGTAAGGTGTCTATGAAAAGGTTATGATTTGCTAAATATGGTTATGCTATTTGTATGGATGTATCATTTTTGTATTTAAACTATTACCTCTATTTCAAAGGTTTGCTCATGTGGTAAGGTATTTAGCCTGCACATTTTGAAGGGACTATTCAAGTTAAATGGCTCTTCGAGAAACACTTAACTTACAATGGACCATGGAAGATGCCTATCTACCCTTAATGGACTTCCCTGTGATGGCCTCTACTATGACTAAGCACAGCATTCTCTGAGATGCTCCCAGTTCCACGCGCAGGGCCAATTAGACAGGCAGAACTGCAGTGTCTCAATGCGTGGATGAGATGATGGTGTAGGGACGAGGGGGTTTAGATTTATTAAGAACTGGGGAAAACTTTTGGGAAAGGGGGAGCCTATACAGGAAGGATGGGCTCCACCTAAACCAAAATGGAACCAGATTGCTGGCACTTAACATTAAAAAGTTTGTAGAGCTAAGGGCTGGGAGAAAGCTGACAGGTGCGGAGGAGCACATGGTTCGAACATCCCTTAGGGGAGGATCTATTAATAGAGAATCTCTATGTCCTAGTGAGGATGAGAGGATGGAAAATGATAAAATACAGGCAGGGTCTGATCAGAAACAGTCAAATAAAAAAGAGTCCCATTCAATTACATCGTGTAATGACAGACAGTTAAAAGGAGACAAGTTATTAAAGTGCTTATATACCAATGCTAGAAGTCTAAATAATAAAATGGGTGAACTAGAGTGCCTCATATTAAATGAGGATATTGATATAATAGGCATCATGGAAACTTGATGTAATGCAGATAATCAATGGGATACAGTAATACCAGGGTACAAAATATATCAGAAGGGCAGAACAGATTGTGCTGGTGGGGGAATGGCATTATATGTGAAAGAAAGCATAGAATCAAATGAAGTAAAAATTGTAAATGAATCAAACTGTACCATAGAACCTCTATGGATAGAAATTCCATGCTCTAATAATAAGAATATAGAAGTAGGGATATATTACTGACCACCTGACCAGGATGGTGATCGTGACTGTGAAATGCTCAGGGAGATTAGAGAGGCTATTAAAATAAAAAAAACCCTCAATAATAATAATGGGGGATTTCAATTATCCCCATATTGACTGGGTACATGTCACCTCAGGACAGAATGCAGAGATAAAGTTTTTTGACACCTTAAATGACTGCTTCTTGGAGCAGCTGGTCCTGGAACCCACCAGGAGAGAGACAATTCTTGATTTAGTCTTAAGTGGAGCACAGGATCTGGTCCAAGAGGTGAATATAACTGGACTGCTTGGTAATAGTGACCATAATATAATTAAATTTAATATCCCTGTGGCAGGAAAAACACCACAGCGGCCCAACACTAGCATTTAATTTCAGAAAGGGGAACTACACAAAAATGAGTAGGTTAGTTAAACAGAAATTAAAGGGTACAGTGCCAAAAGTGAAATCTCTGCAAGCTGCGTGGAAACTTTTTAAAGACACCATAATAGAGGCTCAACTTAAATGTATACTCCAAATTAAAAAAACATAGTAAGAGAATCAAAAAAGAGCCACCGTGGCTAAACAACAAAGTAAAAGAAGCAGTGAGAGGCAAAAAGGCATCCTTTAAAAAGTGGAAGTTGAATTCTAGAGAGGAAAATAGAAATGAGTATAAACACTGGCAAATGAAGTGTAAAAATACAATTAGGAAGGCCAAAAAAGAATTTGAGGAACAGTTAACCAAAGACTCAAAAAGTAATAAGCAAATTTTTTTTTAAGTACATCAGCAGCAGGAAGCCTGCTAAACAACTAGTGGGGCCACTGGACGATCAAGGAGCACTCAAGGACACTAAGGGTACATCTTCACTACCCGCTGGATCAGCGGGCAGTAATCGATCTATCGGAGATCGATTTATTGCGTCTCGTCTAGATGCGATAAATCGATCCCCGAACGCGCTCCCTGTCGACTCTGGAACTCCACCAGAGCAAGAGATGGAAGCGGAGTTGACGGGGGAGCTGCGGCCGTCGATCCCGCGCCGTGAGGATGCGAGGTAAATCGATCTAAGATACGTCAACTTCAGCCACGCTATTCTCATAGCTGAAGTTGCATATCTTAGATCAATCCCCTCCCCCCCCCCCCCACGTGTAGACCAGCTCTCAGGCCATTGAGGAGAAACTAAATGTTTTTTTGCATCGGTCTTCATGGCTGAGGATGTGAGGGAGATTCCCAAACTTGAGCCATTCTTTTTAGGCGACAGATCCAAGGAACTGGCCCAGATTTAGGTATCATTAGAGGAGGTTTTGGAACAAATTGATACATTAAACAGCAATAAGTCACCAGGACCAGATGGTATTCACCTAAGAGGTCTGAAGGAACTCAAAAGTGAAATTGTAGAACTACTAACTGTAGTCTGTAACCTATCATTTAAATCAGCTTCTGTACCAGATGACTGGAGGATAGCTAATGTGATGGCAATTTTTAAAAAGGACTCCAGAGGTGATCCTGGCAATTACAGGCTTGTAAATCTGACTTCAGTACTGGGCAAACTGGTTGAAACTATAATAAAGAACAATATTGTCAGACATATAGATGAACATAATTTGTTGCAGAAGAGTCAATATGGTTTTAGTAAAGGGAAATCATGCTTCACCAATATACTAGAATTCTTTGAGGGGGTCAACAAGCATATGGACCAAGGGGATCCAGTGGATAGAGTGTACTTAGATTTTCAGAAAGCCTTTGACAAAGTCCCTCACCAAAGGCTCTTACGCAAAGTAAGCTGCCATAGGATAAGAGGGAAGGTGCTCTCATGGATTGGTAACTGGTTAAAAGATAGGAAACGAAGGGTAGGTATAAACGGTCAGTTTTCAGAATGGAGAGAGGTAAATAGTGGTGTCCCCCAGGAGTCTGTTCTGGGCCAGTCCTATTCATAAATGATCTGGAAGAAGGGGTAAACAGTGAGGTGGCAAAATTTGCAGATGATACAAAATTACTATCTGTATCTGAGTATCTGAGTGTCTGTAGCAGGGACAGTTTGTCAGTTTGACCGTGTGCTTGATTGTTTGAAAAGTGTGAATTGGGAGTGCTTTGTTCCAGGTATGCCTTGAGTAGGCCTGATTGTTATAAAAAGGCAGCCAGTTGCGAACCAGCTGAGCAGCAAACAGCAAAGAGACTAACAGAGGGAGTTTGACTGGGAGTTCACCTGGGGAGAGCCCACTGAGGCTTTCATCTTGCAGCCTTCTCTGAGTAGTTACTGCAACAGCTGAGGAAGCTCTTAGAAGAAAGGTAATATGGATGGTGAGCGATCGGCTGTTGTGACCTGCACAGGATGTGCCATGTTTATCTTTCTTCCACAGGACAGAAGCGACTTTGTCTGTACAAAGTGAAAGCTGTTCTCCATATTGGAAGAGAATGTTCAAGGTCTGGAGAAACAAGTATCAACCCTGCGTTGCATAAGAGAAAAAGGAATATTTCCTGGACAGATGTCAGGATATGCTTCTACGGGCACAACATTCTGAAGAATCAGAGCAGGCTGGGCAGTGGGGACAGAAGGACGGTGAGGAAAATTAGCAGCATGTGACCTCCAGAAGAAGAAAGAGGAGCGTCCATGTACCAGCAATGCAGATAGAGGTGAGCAACCATTTTCATGTTCTCTCCACAGGTACTAATGCGGAGAGTGGACTAGATGACATATCTGAAGGATGGGAGCAGAAGGAGACTCTGCCAATTGGAAGGCATGAGATGCACTGTCTTAGGGATGGGGGTTGCATGACCACCACTCCCAAGAGAAGGAGGTGGGTGGTGGTAGTCGGGGACTCTCTCCTAAGGAGGCCTGAGTCATCTCTCTACCGTCCTGACCGGGAAAACCGAGGAGTGTGCTGCTTGCCAGGAGCTAGGATTCACGATGTGACGGAGAGACTGCTGAGACTCATCAAGCCCTTGGATCACTACTTCTTCCTGCTTCTCCACGTGGGCACCAAGAATGACCTTGAGCGGATCACTGCAGACTACGTGGCTCTGGGAAGAAGGATAAAGGAGTTTGAGGTGCAAGTGGTGTTCTCGTCCATCCTCCCTGTGGAAGGAAAAGGACCAGGTAGAGAAGGTCGAATCGTGGAAGTCAACAAATGGCTACACAGGTGGTGTCAGAGAGAAGGCTTTCAATTCTTTGACCATGGGATGGTGTTCCAAGAAGGAGTGCTAGGTAGAGATGGGCTCCGCCTAACGAAGAGAGGGAAGAGCATCTTTGCAAGCATGCTGGCTAACCTAGTGAGGAGGGCTTTAAACTAGGTTCACTGGGGGAAGGAGACCAAAGCCCTGAGGTAAGTGAGGAAGTGGGATATCAGGAGGAAGCACGAGCAGGAGAGTGCAAGAGGGGAGGACTCCTGCCTCATACTGAGAAATCAGGACGATCAGCGAGTTATCTTAAGTGCCTATACGCAAATGCAAGAAGCCTGGTAAACAAGCAGGGAGAACTGGAAGTCCTGGCACGGTCAGGGAACTATGATGTGATTGGAATAACAGAGACTTGGTGGGATAACTCACATGACTGGAGCACTGTCGTGGATGGATATAAACTGTTGAGGAAGGACAGGCAGGGCAGAAAAGGTGGGGGAATTGCATTGTATGTAAGAGAGCAGTATGACTGCTCAGAGCTCCAGTATGGAACTGCAGAAAAACCTGAGAATCTCTGGATTAAGTTTAGAAGTGTGAGCAACAAGGGTGACGTCATGGTGGGAGTCTGCTATAGACCACCATATCAGGGGGATAAGGTGGAAATGCCCTGGTTCTCATGGGGGATGTCAATCACCCCAATATCTGCTGGGAGAGCAATACAGCAGTGCATAGACAATCCAGGAAGTTTTTGGAAAGTGTAGGGGACAATTTCCTGGTGCAAGTGCTAGAGGAACCAAATCAAGTGCATACAAATTGGCTGTTGCCTCCGCCAAACTCTGTCCTCCTGCAGCCTGTGCTCTTCCCTCCAAGTTCAATGCAGCTTGCTACAGGTGCCCAAAGGGACTTGCAGGATCAAGGTGTTTGTCCATTCACGTGTCAGAATCTGGTGGTACAAAGTCACAAATACTCTTAATCACCAGATTCAAACAATGTTGTTTTGAAATGAGAGCGACTTCTGCAACTACATTCAGCTCACTAAGGAAAAGTGTATCAACCATTTGCTAGTGTACTTTTACGTGCACTTCCCATCACATGGATTTGGGTCAGAAATGGACCAGTACTGACTTGAAGGTGCCTTTTAGCCCCTGCTTTGGTGATGGAAACAAAAACAATGTGGACCAAAATCTCCTCTTCCAATACCAATGTGCGGGGGTAAGTGAAATAATCTTGCACTTTAGCTTTTGTCAGCTGAATGTCAGGAATTGGTCCTGCTTTGAGCAGGGGGTTGGACTAGATGACCTCTTGAGGTCCCTTCCAACCCTGATATTCTATGATTCTATGAATGTGTAGTTTATATTACTACTTTGTCAAGTTATTGTACCCTTAACAAGATCTCTAGTATGTTTTACAGCAAAACATTTTAATTCTGCATTCTTACTCAACACTGGATTCTCAAACACAATGCATTACATATCCTAGGACAACTTTAGAAAAGTGTGGGGAGAGAATACATTCTCCAGAGTTTGTCATTCTTGAGACATTCTTCAAAAAAGTGTTAACTGAAGTTTTGTTGGTTGTCCTTCAAAAACTGAAGATGATATGTCACTTTTGCTGGCTGTTCATAAAAATAAAACGTACAGCAGAAAATAAAAATGTTTTCCCATTGAAAATATACCTTTACATGTTATGTTAAAATCATTTTACAAATTCACAGTTAAAAACAATCATGCTGCCATATACGTAAATCCACACAAATATTTCAGTTCAAGTGATTCAGAGGAACTAATGAATAAATAGTTCCATCACTGGTTTTAGAAGCTGGAGTACAATGGCCATTTCTCATATGGGAATTATGGACAGATGAGGAAGTCTCTGTTCTATAAATTTGGGCTTGCATTTCGCAGCAACCAAACTTGCTCAGTAAAATGAAGAAATCTCTGCGGAAGGTCTTTGTGAAAATTGCATACAAGAAAGGATTGGCACATGAATTGATAGGGTAGAACAAAACCAGGAGGATCTTGGATTTGGACACAGTGATGAGAGGAAGCTTGAGTGATGCCGATATTGCAAAAAAAGATATTGGTGCCATGCACAGAAAATCGGTGAAGATCAGTATAGCCATGCGCTTGGCAATTTTGGTGTCACTGTTTGAAGAGATGACATTAGGGTTTCTCACTGTAAAGTAGATGCAGATGTAACAGGTACAGATGATCATAAATGCAAGAACATTCAGTACTAAAAGGAATATGATATAAGCCTGGGAAAGGGGTGTTTCTATATCCATGGGCAAGCAAATGCTGACTTTCATGTAGCTGCTGACTCCAAATATGGGAAGAAGGGCCACAGTGAAGGCAAACATCCAACCAAAAATCATAATAACCATGGCGTGCCGAAATCGAACCTTGCGGTCCAGTTGCATGGCATAGGTGATTGTATGCCATCTTTCCAGAGTGATCACAGTCAGTGTGTAAACTGAAAGTTCGCTCGCAAACACAGTGAAAAACCCTGCAGCACTGCATCCCGCACCAGTTTGCCAGTCTATGGCATAGTTGTAATACTGGCTTTTGGTCTGTATATCTACAGATGCAATCAACAACAGATAGATGCCTATACAAAGGTCTGCAAATGCAAGATTGCACATTAGAAACCGAGGGACAGTGAGTTTATATTGACTGCTTATTAAAATAACCAATACAGTGATGTTCCCAGTGATAGCTAGAATGTTGATAAACCATATCAGGACTCTGAGAATATTGTATCCCATGATATCTTCACAAGGATTGAAGGCATCAGGCTTAGGAGAGCAAGCCACATGTACTACTTCATTACATAAGCCGTAGTCAAAGTCAAATTCATTTTCTAGTGAGTCAAAACCTATGTAGTTGGAAATGTAATCCTCAGCTGCAGATCTTCTGTGCACCCTGTCCGCAGGCTGCTCATCAGCATCTTGCATGACATCAGATTTATTACATATTGGATGCAATGCAAAACTGGAATGGAAGAACAGAATATAGTTAGTGCCTAAAACATATAGCAGAAGAAATACAATAAGTAAGGTTTCAGAGTAGCAGCCATGTTAGTCTATATCTGCAAAAAGAACAGGAGTACTTGTGGCACCTTAGAGACTAACAAATTTATTTGAGCATAAGCTTTCATGGGCTACAGCCCACTTCATCAGATGCAACAGGATGAAGTAGGCTGTAGCCCATGAAAGCTTATGCTCAAATAAATTTGTTAGTCTCTAAGGTGCCACAAGTACTCCTGTTCTTTTTACAATAAATAAGAGATATCATGCAGTTCCCATTAACAACTCTGCACCTCTTATTAACTGATTATTTCATAGACTCTAGGACTGGAAGGGACCTCGAGAGGTCATCGAGTCCAGTCCCCTGCCCTCATGGCAGGACCAAATACTGTCTAGACCATCCCTGATAGACATTTATCTAACCTACTCTTAAATATCTCCAGAGATGGAGATTCCACAACCTCCCTAGGCAATTTATTTCAGTTTTTAACCACCCTGACAGTTAGGAACTTTTTCCTAATGTCCAACCTAAACCTCCCTTGCTGCAGTTTAAGCCCATTACTTCTTGTTCTATCTTTAGGGGCTAAGATGAACAAGTTTTCTCCCACCTCCTTATGACACCCTTTTAGATACCTGAAGACTGCTATCATGTCCCCTCTCAGTCTTCTCTTTTCCAAACTAAACAAACCCAATTCTTTCAGCCTTCCTTCATAGGTCATGTTCTCTAGACCTTTAATCATTTTTGTTGCTCTTCTCTGGACCCTCTCCAATTTCTCCACATCTTTCTTGAAATGCGGTACCCAGAACTGGACACAATACTCCAGTTGAGGCCTAATCAGTGCAGAGTAGAGCGGAAGAATGACTTCTCGTGTCTTGCTCACAACACACCTGTTAATGCATCTCAGAATCATGTTTGCTTTTTTTGCAACAGCATCACACTGTTGACTCATAATTAGCTTGTGGTCCACTATAACCCCTAGATCCCTTTCTGCCATATTCCTTCCTAGACAGTCTCTTCCCATTCTGTATGTATGAAACTGATTGTTACTTCCTAAGTGAAGTACTTTGCATTTGTCTTTATTAAACTTCATCCTGTTTACCTCAGACCATTTCTCCACTTTGTCCAGATCATTTTGAATGTTGACCCTATCCTCCAAAGCAGTTGCAATCCCTCCTAGTTTGGTATCATCTGCAAACTTAATAAGCGTACTTTTTATGCCAATATCTAAGTCATTGGTCAAGATTTGAGGCCCCAGTCCTACAAATCTTATACACATGCTTAACTTTAGAGAGATGATTAATCCCATTGGTTTCAATGAGATTACTGTCATGCATAAAGTTAAGCACATGTATAAGGGTTTGCAGAGTCAGGGTCTATAGGTGCTAAAGTATAGCTTGAGGTGAAATCACATAAATAATGACAAAATATCATTGCAAAACATACAGCTGGTTGAAAAATGGGAGAGGGCAGGGAGAATGCAAAAAAAAAAATTAGAATGTTTTAATTTTTCACTGAAATTTTCCAATCATCACTTTTTATGCAAAGGGACTGAAATATGTATTCTCTTCCGAGAATTTGGTGTGGATCTCAAGAAACAAACCAAGGAAGCAAAGGGGTAGGGAGGGTGTATAATGGTCCAAAAGAGGGTGCCAAAAGTTGACAAATGAGACAAGATGCTCCAGATAAGCAAATTACATTCACTGCCATCTTTTCCTCAATTTATGCAGACTTGACCAGCACAATTAATTACAGGTAAATTACTTCCTATGCTTACAGATAGCAGATTTTCATGTCTGCTAGTAAATCATGTTGCTTGTATTTTCTGAATACTACTGAATATAAAACTTGTTCTAGCACCCAGTAAGATTATTTATGTGGTTAAACACATTGCTGAATCAGATCCCTAGATATCCCCATTAAAGTAGAATCATAGAATCATAGAATATCAGGGTTGGAAGAGACCTCAGGAGGTCATCTAGTCCAACCCCCTGCTCAAAGCAGGACCAATTCCCAACTAAATCATCCCAGCCAGGGCTTTGTCAAGCCTGACCTTAAAAACCTCTAAGGAAGGAGATTCCACCACCTCCCTAGGTAACCCAGTCCAATGCTTCACCACCCTCCTAGTGAAAAAGTTTTTCCTAATATCCAACCTAAACCTCCCCCACTGCAACTTGAGACCATTACTCCTTGTTCTGTCATCTGGTACCACTGAGAACAGTCTATATCCATCTTCTTTGGAACCCCCTTTCAGGTAGTTGAAAGCAGCTATCAAATCCCCCCTCATTCTTCTCTTCTGCAGACTAAACAATCCGTTCCCTCAGCCTCTCCTCGTAAGTCATGTGCTCCAGCCCCCTAATCATTTTTGTTGCCCTCTGCTGGACTCTTTCCAATTTTTCCACGTCCTTCTTATAGTGTGGGGCCCAAAACTGGACACAGTACTCCAGATGAGGCCTCACCAATGTCGAATAGAGGGGAACGATCACGTCCCTCGATCTGCTGGCAATGCCCCTACTTATACAGCCCCAAATGCCGTTAGACTTCTTGGCAGCAAGGGCACACTGTTGACTCATATCCAGCTTCTCATCCACTGTAACCCTTTGGTCCTTTTCTGCAGAACTGCTTCCTAGCCATTCGGTCCCTAGTCTGTAACAGTGAATGGGATTCTTCCCATTCCCCAGTACATGTTACTGTTCTACTGATGAATTAGCAAGTCTTCCTTTATTTATACAATTCATCAATCTGCTTTCCTTGTCTCAAAATATATTCTGAATCCACTCCAGAGACTTATCAGTACAGTAATATTCTGTTAATTATTTAGGTAACAGTAGATGAAATCTAAGAAAGAGTATGGAAAAATGTAAGAATGTGGGCTCAGTTATCAGTCTGTCTCAACACACAGATACACAATTTCATCTTATGGTTCTTTTCACAACAAGATGGGCAAAATTTGAAGAATGCTGTGCAAACAACATTCAAATTACATGATTTCATGCTGGCCTTTGAGGAGGGTTTCATCAACCAAGTATTTGAATCCAGATTTAAACATACTGTCCTGAAGAATCCTTTTTTTTTGGTTATATATTATATTGCAAGGGATCCATTCTAGTTTCCAGTGTGAAAGAGGGGGCACATGTTAGCTCTCCAATTTAATCCCCCCCCCCAAAAAAACAAAAACGTATTTAGCATGAAAAAAAGATCAAATAAAACTGCCAGTCACTCTGTAAGACTGGAATCACAGACAATTACAGTATTTCATGGTAAAGACTGAGGGTAAAAAGTTCAAAGTGCCTATTGACCTTCGCAATTAAGTATCATTTTCAAAAGTGACTTAGGGAGCCGCTAAGGGTCCTAATGGGACTTAGGAACTTAAGTCACTTAGGCATTTTTGAAAAAAAAATTACCCCGTGTCTGGAATTATTTTCTGTACTTTTTCATCACTGCAGTGCCATAGAGTAACTGTTAATTTTAGTTATTTTTCATGGTAATTAAAAATCTGCTTTTTTAAAGGAAAGGGATTTGAATCGTTCTCTGAAGTTGCTCTTCCTAAAGTATTCAGGGGCATTTCCATAGTGAAATAGTTTATAATGTCAACAATATCTTGAAAACTTATCTATAATTACAAATCAGTAATTTTCCCTTGCACAGTACCAATCATAGCTACCTGTTCTTGTGCGATGAAGAGCAAGAGTAAGTTTCTCTTAGAATACACAGGATGCCTTAAAGGAACTTGAATTGAGGCACAGTCAGATTAAGTAACTTGCTCAAGGTCACAAAAGCCAGCATCAGAACTAGGATTAGAACTCAGAAGTTTTGTACTTAAATTTGGCTCCTGCCAACATAAGTGTCTCTCTATGTCCATTTAGTAACACCACCTTCCTGAGTGCCAGTGTAGATACTGTGTTTCTTATGCTGACTGTTATTGGTCTTCAGGAACCATCTCATAATGCCTCACACTGACAATACAATCAATACAAGTGCTCCTGGTGGGACACACACCGCTGACACAAGGACCCAAGTGTGCACACACACACAAGTGATTTAATAACTGCGATGGCTGTAAGTTAGGTCAACATAATTTCATAGTGTAGGCAATTTCAAATGTAAGAAGAAAGTCATATCATCATGATTCTTTTAGATAGAAGCTAATCTTTATGTCAAAACAATCAAAACGATGGCTGAAGTTCCTGCTGGGAATTGTCAGCTTCAGGGACACATAGACAGGAGGAAATTATTTTTTGAATCACAGATGAACGATGGCCTCCAACACAGCCTGCAAAGCAAACTTTATACAAGTTAGTATAAAATGTAGTGTATCTTTTATTAGATCAACATCAGACTTTTTAGTATTATGATTTTATAGACCAATGTTATAGCCATAAGCTCTCAAAAAATTAGATCTTAGGGCCAGAGCTTATGGGCCAACTGAGCCATGTGTTGTGCAAGACCAGGGAGCTTGAGTGGGAAGGACAAAGCTGACTTTAATTCATCTTTACAAGTCCTGGATCCTGAGGCTGATCCATTTTTGACCAGATCCCCTACACAAGTTAGAACAGCCACAGGGTCCTGTAACTTACATTGGTTGCCCATCACCCCAAACGGGTTCTTCTGGGAGCCAGGGATCACTGACATGTAGGGGTGCTTTGCTGTGAGAGAGGATAGTGTAGGAGCCACTGTGGCAGCTTTCACCACCTAAAGATTCTCCAGTAGAGCAGATTCCTCAGAAAGTTGCTTAACTGCTGTTAGGGTAGTTTTGAATCACTGGAGCAGCCAGATGGGGCTGAGGATCTGACCCTGAACATCCTCTGAGGGTTCTTGTGTGACAACCATAAGGCTCAAACATCCTTAAAAATGGATATTCCAGGTTATCAGGTAGATAATTTTTATTCTCCCTGACAAATCACATCCTAGATCTAATCTTGAAAGGAGAAATAATAGTATAGGGATAATGTATGATGAAGTCAAGC